AGCATTTTCAATTCCTAAAAACACACTAATTTTTCCTTTGCTGATCTTTTACTTGTATTTTATATATACCTTGGCCCATAGACTTAGTCTGGACTTATTTAAACATCCTACACTGTACTAGATCTAAATTATAATCCTGTCCTAATACACTCACTAGATACTAAACTTTCACCGTATTAATTCCTAGATTATACTAACTATCCTTTAATTATATATACCACCCTTGTAATTCTATAAACGATTCAACCTCATTGCCCCACTTATCATTTTTCTACCAGACATTCCTTTATATTCCGGAATGTCCTTAAGATTAGGTCCATAACTCTTTCATTACTTGTAAATACTCCTATTAACTATTAGTCAATCTTTTTATAAATTCTTGATCAATTTGTCTTAAAATTTATTCTCGTATAAGCATAGTGAGATCAACGCGAACCACAATTTTTTCTACACTCGTGAAATCCCAAAATATAAAAATCTTTATCTTAAAATCTTATCTTAGATCCTTTGATATATCATTATATCCTAATTTGCACAAACTTCTAATAGTTATCCTCTAATTTGTTACATAAAGATTAGAGTAATTTATCTTTTGCTAAGAATCACAATTTACTTTTCTTATAACCACAATAATTTATATTATTCCTTATATTCACACACCTAAAAAATAGTTGATGAATACAACAATACACTCTACCATATAATAATTCCACTAATATTATTCTTTATGAAAAATACTCGCCACCAATTGTTATACCAAATCACACCAAATCCTTCAATATTCAAACCTTATAAAAATCATGTATATCCATTCCATCCAGAAAAATATTTATCTCAATAAATATAAGAAATTCCACTAACCAACATCATGTAAATTTCATCAAATTCATATACTCATTCAATACTCTAATTAAATAGAATAGACTCTAACTGTCCTCGAATCCGAATCATTTTAGTTGCTTTTAATAAAAAATCAAGTTCAACCACTATCCTTTCCTCCTATGGTCAGAATCTTCAGCAATAAATAGTCAAGTATCTTAAGATGATGAAGATGAAAGTGAATCCACATCTAGTTACTCACCACTACGTGAAAATGATTACTCTGATATAAATCAAATAGATTGATAACTTATCTTCTTACCTACTTAGATTATATATGAATATTATTTATTCCATAGAAGGATTCTAGTTTAAGTTTAAACCATCCCCTTAGCACCATTAGCTAAATCACATCTCTAAAGGACAATGATACAAATTTTAATCATTAAACAATTTGACTTTAACCTGACTGTGAACAACGCTGAAGAGGAAAGCAAGGAAGACTATGTCAACACATGATAGGAATTACTCCGTAGTTACATCTAGACTTATGAACTTTTTGCTCTGATACCACCTTTGTCACGACCCATTTCCGTGGGCCGGACCGGCACTAGGGCCCAGGTAAGCTTAAGGCCCCCGAGGCCCGTAGGTAGCAAGCCTGAACCACAAAATTCAACCATAACAATATGAATTTCAGACATTCAGTCCATATTGCCATACATAATAAATCTCGTAATATATTATACTTTGGCCCAAATCTAGCATCATAAACATTTTATAGCTCGGGCTCAGGCCCAATTCTAATACGAAACATTCATAATATGGGCTAACTTGTTCATGCATAGTGTAGAGCTAACAATAAGTCCAATAGTTAATACACAACCCTATAACTGCGGAGTTCAATAATAAATCGGATAATAGAAGTAACTATACATCCAAAATTAAATAAAAGAAATATGAAAAATTTACATTTAAACTCATGCGGAGAAAGATTGCAGAGCTATCAGTCGAATCAGCTGCTTTCCTAGTACCTGGGAGGTTTGGAGAGGACAGGGGTGAGTTTTTTGCAACTCAGTGAATAATAATAAATAATACACACCACATACAGTCACCACGGAAATGCCGCCTAACTATACTGAATGAGCACACAAACAAATCCAATCATATGGCATCAACATCAGCACCCACAAACAATATCACCTTCAAAGAATCACATCACGTTGGAAATTAGGTCAGTGGAGTCTCCGAACCCCTGATGAGCCGTCCTTCCCACATTTGGCTCATCCTCTACATGTGCACCAGGGAGCCGATTCCCGCTATACTGGCGACCGGTCTAATCCCTCACTGACCACCCTCTCATTTGTCTATCCTCATCTTTTTCTTTTTCATACCAACAGGAGGCAACCCGGATGGTCTCCATCCAAAAATCTAGATTCAAATTCCAGCGCTTCACAACAGCGAGCCACCCTGGGGCGCTGCGATCAAATCTAGACTCCGTGTGCGCAACGACGAAAAGCCAACCGTGTGTTAACCGGTAACAGGTAACGAGTAGGTCACACGGGGGCGCCGATCTCTCATTTACCCGAGCTAACGGTAATCATATTGGATCCATATAACGGTTCACGGTCTCACAAGTCCCTTGGCTGACCCACTTCATCCAATTTCCACAACAAACAATTCACAATATATGCACAACACAATTATTCAAACAATTCCTTCAACGTACAAACCCAAAATACATCCAAATATCACAATTATGCAACAAAATAAATATGACGCTTTTAATATAAAAATATATACATAATATATATGATAAAATACTTATAATATATTGTAAATATATAAATAAAAATATAAGATTTATAAATAAATGTTATGCAAATGCAGTGTTGATATGCATTATTTACTATTACTCACTGTGATGGAGAGCGAAATTCTAGCTTTGATGTTGTCCTGGAGGCGCACTAGATGGACCCAGGCGATCTAAGCAAAGTAAGAATGATACAAAAAGAAATAACTCTATCCGACTAAATATTCCTTTACCCTTCTAATATTTTTATTTTATATTCTAAATTTTTCTACGTAATTTAATCTTGATATTTAATTTCTTTTCTGTAATAAATTTCTCTAACTTTATTTCATTTATTTTCTTCTGAAATTCTATTTTATTTCCTACCGAAATTCTATTTTTATTTTCTGCCGAATTTCGTCAAGCATCTTCCCCTAAAAAAAATTGGACTATCTACCTGTGAAAATATCACGACAAGTATACCAATAATTCCAAACCACACAGCCCATCATCGGGCAATCAATCAATTCAATTTTTTCCCACTCCTCCATCCGCAATAAGCAATATCAACATTACTTTCAACTCTTAATTCCTCATTCATTCCATTCCACAATATTATTATCCCAAAATTCCTCAATAAATATTTAATTACTGAATTTTAAATGTAAACTAACTATTGTTTTTATTAATCAATAATTACTTCATATTAATTTAATCAATAAAACATATTTTGTGATTAATTTTTTAACTACCTAAATAAACCTAAAATACTAACTTAAATAATTTTTATTAGTCAATAAGAATAATAACTACTAAATTAATTTCACTACATAAAAATTAACTAAACTACAACTACGCAAAATAACTAAATTTAAATGAACTAAATTAATTTTTACCCCAAATTTATTAATTTCTGTCGCAAATTGTAGATCGGACTTGCACGCGTGCTGGATCTAAACTGCGCGCACTGGGACTGCAAGCAGGTGGCTGGAGTCGTGCTGGAGTAGCTAGACCACCTGAGACGGCGCGATCTGGCCGAGGATGAAGCGCTGCTGCAGGCGGAACTGCTGGCTGTGGCGCGCAGAGGAGCGGTGAGGCGGTGCTGCGCGCGATGGAGACGGTGCGACTGGCTGTGGATCGCGCCTCTGCTGTTGCTGGCTAAGGTCGACGCAGGCGCAGTCATCGACGCAGGCGCAAGTCACAGCAAGAAAAGAAGAAGAGAGGAAGAAGGAAGGGGAAAGAAAGAAGAAAGATAAGAAGACGGAAAGAAGAAAGAGGAAGGAGAGGGCCTGCTGTGGATGCGGTGAGGAGTAGAGAGGTGTCAGCGCTGGAAAAAAAAAGAAAGGGAAGTTTTTCTAGATGTTTTGGGTCGAACCGATTCGATTCCGGTTCGATTCGACCCACAATCTTTGATTTTCGCACTGGTTTTCGGCTTTTTTAAATCGGTTTTAGGTTCGGTTTCATCACAGAAAGGGAATTTTCTAGATGGTTTGGGTCGAACCGATTCGATTCGGTTCGATTCGACCCAAATCTTTGATTTTCGATTGGTTTTCGGCTTTTTAAATCGGTTTTAGGTTCGGTTTCTCACCGTGTTCGCATTAAAATATTGAAATAAATTTCCAGGCTGTCGGTTTATGAAATTTAATTGGAAAATTTTTGAAAATAAAAATTCGGGTTGTTTCAATAACTAATACTAATTTAATAATTTTAATAATTTATTATTATTATTAGAATTATTAAATTAGTATTAACAACTTATATAATAATATAATAAAATAAAACATAATTAGACATAATAATATAATAATAGTAAAACTTCAAATTTTTAAATACGTAATTATCTATATTTATTTATCAATTAAAAAATTAAAAAAATGTCCAATCAAATTAAAGAGATATTATATATATTTTTATGTTAAAAATTTTTTAATTGGTTATGACTAGTATTATTTTAAGATATTTTAAATTTTATAAGAATAATATTAGAAAATCACATTTTTACCTCTCATTTTCACTTTTATATATAATATAGATAGATTATAAGAGTTACGGTTTAATTTGGTTTATATTAAATAATGAATGCTCCTAAATATTACTAATTAAAAAAATTAATGCATATATATTCTCTCCGTTCTTATATATAAGTTTTTTTTTTTTTTGAAATATCCTTCCTTTCCCTTATATATATAATTAAAATATTCATTTTCCCTTATATATATAATTAAAATATTCATTTTTTTTCTCATCCAATCCGATATTTATTAGCCAGTTGATTTAATTTTGTCTGAGCTTTTTAATTGACTTCTCAACTCATTATCTAAACTAAAGACAATCGTTATAATTACAAAAATCTAAGATTGAAATTGAAATCCTTCAAAAAAAAAATTGAAAATGAAATTTTAGAAAAATAAAATTCAATAAGAATTGTAGAAAAGGTAAATCCGATAGTCTCTTGTTGATTATCAGATTCATCATTACAGAAGATCCTCAGAATATACAAAAGGAAAAGAAAAAATTAAAAAATGAAAAATCTGAATCCGGCCACTAACATGTACAAAAACCAAGCTCATGGTTTAGATTTCAGATCCAAGTGTCTATTCGGTAATAAAACGGTTTCATCGATCGGATCTCGGATCTTTAGAAACAAAAGGATGTGACAATAGCTGCGCCGCCGTCCACCTTTTAGTAGATTCCTTCTGCAAGCAACACTCCAGAAAGTTCCGGAACTCGTCGGAGGCATTTTCCGGCAGGCTAGGCGGATCACCGAAGCATATAGCACACATCAAGGTAGCCCAATCGGGTCTTTGACCCGGAGTAAGAAATGGGAAGTAACCCAAATAAAGCTCCAATAAAGTAAGGCCTAAGCTCCAAATATCAGCAGCGTAACCATTATAATTTCCTCCATATGCGTCTGGGTCGAAACGTTCCGGGCTCATATAAGCACAAGTACCCACATAAGACTTGCAAGGATCTAAAGTACGGCGCATGATTATGCTAACGCCAAAATCAGCAATCTTCACTTCCATTTCGTTACCATTTTTGGCTAATAAATTTGAAGGTTTAATGTCTCTGTGGATGATTTTGTGGTTGTGCAAGTAATTTAGACCATTAAGAACTTGGTGAGCTACATGGGCAAGTTTAGCTTCTGAAAAAGTACCTTCTTTCTGTACAAGGGTATCTAAAGTACCTAAATCCATATACTCCATTAAAATCCCTATATCACCAGACGGCTTTTCGTAAATCCCATGGCAGTGAACTATATAAGGAGAATCTGTATGCCGAAGGATTTCCATTTCTCGGAAGACTTGGCGGCGTACGATGGCGTCATCGGTGTCAGCGTGGACCACTTTTAAGGCATAAATTTCGGAAGTGCGTTTATGACGCACTTTATAGACTGTACCGCCGTTTCCATGGCCAAGAACTTGAAGCTTTTCAAGATCGTTGCAAGAGATATTAATTGCACCGGTGTTGTTGGTAGCGACGGTGGTTGCGTTGGGAGGGAGTGGTAAGGGGAAGCGAGGGCGGCGCTCGGAGGGTTCGGGAAGAGGGAGGCGGAGGTTGAGCTGGCGGCGTTCACGAACTACAGCCATAGAAGGGAGGAAGGAAGCGTGAGTGAGTGGAAAGATGAGGTACTAAAATGAAGTATTGAGAAATTGATTATATATATAATGTGTATATTATTAATAAAAAATTAATAATAGAAGCCCACCCAAAAAGTGATAATGATAATAGAAGTGGAAAGGAAAGCACGTGGACGATAAAAGAAAGAGGAAGGATGGCGGAAGGATAGGGAAAAGGACAGTCGTGGGGTCCATGTGGAGGACGATTCATTTTTTCCTGCAAGAAGTTCATTATCTCACGAGAAAATGTGGATAGTTAATTACCATCTAAAAACGGTAATTATTTGTTACTAGTACTGTCTCAAAATCATACTTCAATCGTCTCAAAATTATAGTCTTACTTTAATTGTCTCAAAATTATAATCTCAATTTTATTTTCACACAGTTCAAGGATAGGTAGTCAAATAGTATTTTTATGTTCTTATTTTTTGGCATATATCTATAAAAATTTTATTCGCAAAATGCTTAATTATATCCCTGTACTTTGCACAAAAAATTTTATGGTCCTTATAAGTTGCGTATGGCTAATTATAAATTTTTACTTTTTTTATTTTGTATCTATTTTATATCTTGCTCAGGCTACCATTATGCGTGAGTCGTACTCAATTTGAGTTGGCAAAAAGGGTCTGACATGACAATGATTGTTATGAATTAATTCCAAATAATCTAAAGAGCCCTCTAACTCTTTCTTTTTCTAATGCAATAGCTAGTTTAACATAAAAAAAATACAGATTATATAATTTAAAAAGAGCCCATGAAAAATAAAACCATTTTCATCTTTTCTTTCTCGAATAGCAACACCACAAAAAAAAGGCACCTAAGAGGCAAATTACATAATTATTTCCTTCCTTATTGCATAGAAAGTGTCATATAGAAACTCAAACACCCACTAATCCAGAAGAAAAAAACACCTAAAAGATTGAGAAGGCTAAGAGAACAACATAAACTCATATGCTTTTTAAGATTGAGAATGCCAAAAGAACAACACAAATCCAAATGCTTTTTTTAGCAATCTAGCACATTAATGCTAGAATAAAATCTGATTATGATAGTATCTGATTCCAATTCTAGTGTATTTGATTCTAATCCTAGTGTATCTGATTATGATCCTATTATATCTCATTATGATTCATTTTTCCTTTTTGTATGTACCTTGTACACCTATACAAAGGGTGTTGTATAATGTAAATCTCATATCAATACAATACAAATTCCTTCTCATTCAACTTGGTCAGAGCCTTTCTAGGCAATTACGTTTATTCTTTTTGCAGGCTTTAGCTCTTCTCTTGTGAGCCTTCACGCCTTCCATAGCCACCTCAAATGTCTTCTTCTCTGACTGCACTGGCTACTCATCGTTCTACTTCTCTAGTTCATGGTAAGAAGTGGTGTTATTGCCATAAGACATCTACTCATCATCGCTCAGAATGTCGCATTCTACAGAATTGTGATCATAATAAACATAATCCTTTTCACACCCAGCGACTACTATAATAGACACTGCTCCTTTTGCAGAGTCTTCTTCTCTTACCCTGGTGCAACTCACTTCAGATGAATTGGCAGTAATTACTGAGCTCTATCAGTCCCAAAATGGTGATGGAAGTGGTATTTCTAACTCTAAATCTCATAGTTCTTCTGCCTTGTCTGTTACAACAGGTACCCAACATTGGTTACTTGACTCTACATGTTGTAGCCACATGACATTTGATCTACACTCTTTCTCGCACAAGTCACCTACTACTTCTATTCCACCTATTCACACTACTGATGGCACCTTTTTATATACTACTCATGTTGGCACTGTTTCTACATCTTCCATTTTTGTTCTTGACACTTATTTACTTCTATCTTTAAAACACAATCTTCTCTCCGCTGGACAAATTATTAATCTTGGTTATCATATAATTCTTAACAAGATTGGTTGTTTCATTCAGGACGATGTGACACGGAAGGTTGTTGGGACAACACGTAAGGTGGGTCACTTGTTTCTAATGGATCAACTTCACCTACCATCAACCTCATTAGCTACAGCCTCCATTTCTTTTAGTAAAGTACTTAAACTCTGGCACTCTCGTCTTGGTCATGCATCTCTCTCCAAACTTCATCCTCTTTTCTCTAGTGGTTAGTTAGGACAAGTTTTTATGTCTTTTAATGATTTTAAATGTCTTCCCTAGTTGAGTAAACAAACTAAACTCCTTTTTAATAACAATGAAACAAGTGTTATTGTTTAGTTTGATTTAATTCATTTCGATACTTGGGGTCCTTCTCCAAATATTACTATGGGGGGATCTTGTTATTTTGTTATATTTGTTGATGATTTCTGTCTGTTCATTTGTGTTTATATTTTCAAAAATTGTTCTGAGTTACTATGTATTTATTCAACTTTCTCTCAAATGGTTTAGACACAATTTTCTCGCACTATTAAAATTTTTAGATTTGATAATGCTGGAGAATTCACTTCAATCCCTTTTCTCAGCTTGTTAGCAAAGCATGGTACTATTGCCTAAACCCCCTGTCCTAGAACATGTGAACAAAATGGTCGAGCTGAGCGAAAACATAGACATATTATTGAAACAATAGGTGCTCTTTTACGTTTTGCTACTCTTCCTGAATGTTTTTGGGGTGAAGTTGTCCTAACTTCTATTTTTACAATCAACTAGGTAATAAAACACCTTATGAATGTTTGTTTAATGCTTCTCCAAGTTATAATCTTTTACGTGTTTTTGGTTGTGTTTGTTTCCTTCAACTTCATTTGCATAAGCGAAGCAAATTGGAACCACGGTCTCATACATGCTGTTTCTTAGGGTATGGTATAGGTCAAAAAGGGAATCGTTGTTATGATCCAATCTCTAATAGGTTACGAGTTTCACGTCATGTTGTCTTTTGGGAAAACATCCTCTTTACTTAAATGGGATCTGTTAACTCTCCTACTAAAGCTCAACTTACTATAAAATCTTTGTTTATTGATCCTTTTGTAGATAATTCTCCTATTACTCCTGCAGTTGCTCTAATCACACCATCTGCCTCAGACTCTCCTCCTGCTCTTGTTGATCCATCTGCTCCTAAATGCGATCACCATTCTTCTTCCAATAATGCTGCTCTGGTGCCTCCGTCCCTACTGATACTTTCATGAGATTCATACTTCTCTAGTAGAGTTGTCTTTTGGGAAAACATCCTCTTTACTTAAATGGGATCTGTTAACTCTCCTACTAAAGCTCAACTTACTATAAAATCTTTGTTTATTGATCCTTTTGTAGATAATTCTCCTATTACTCCTGCAGTTGCTCTAATCACACCATCTGCCTCAGACTCTCCTCCTGCTCTTGTTGATCCATCTGCTCCTAAATGCGATCACCATTCTTCTTCCAATAATGCTGCTCTGGTGCCTCCGTCCCTACTGATACTTTCATGAGATTCATACTTCTCTAGTAGAGTAGTCAAATCTAATGTTCATTTTAATGAGTATCATTATTATTTTGCTCTTATAATCCTTCATGAACCTACCACCTTTAAAGAAGCCTCCATTAACCTTCTTTAGCAGAAAGCTATGAATGAAGAATTAAAAGCACTTACGAAAACTAACACTTGCCACTTAGTTTATCTGCCTCTAGGTAAATCTATTGTAGGTTGCAAATGGGTGTATAAGATCAAGACTTGTGCAACGAGAGTATTGAACAGTATAAAGCACGCTTGGTTGCGAAATGATGCATGTAAGAATATGGCATTGACTATGAGGAGACTTTTGCTCTGTTGCCCGCCTTACCTCTGTACGAGCTCTTGTTGTTGTTGCCTTAGCTCGAAAATGGCCTTTTTATCAAATGGATGTTAAAAATGCTTTTCTTAATGGGGACTTATCCCAAGAGGTGTATATGAAACCTCCACCTAGTTATCCACACTCTTCTCATCAAGTGTGTCATCTTCGAAAAGCACTCTATGGTCTCAAACAGGCACCGCAAGTTTATTTTTTGAAGTTTAACTCTGTTCTGAGCCAACTTGGTTTTCACTCTAGTGCCTCTGATTTAGCCCTCTTTTGTTGTCAGACTAACTCCAGATTAGTCCTTGTTTTACTTTATGTGAATTATTTGATTATCACTGGAGATGATACTTTGGGTATTCATGATCTCAAACTCTCTCTAAGTCAAAAGTTTGAGATGAAATATCTTGAAAATCTTAGTTACTTTCTGAGACTTGAAGTGAACTCTGATTCTAATGGTTACTATCTCTCTCAGAGTAAGTTTGCCTCTGATTTGATTTCAAAATCTAGTATCTCAGATAGCACCATTGTTCAATCTCCGACGGAAGAAAATTGGGAACTTAGCACTCTCGGTGGGGAACCTCTTCGTGATCCTACTTTATATCGTCAGTTGGTTGGTAGTCTTATCTATCTTACAGTTAACTCAATCGGATATTGCTTATGCAGTGCATTGTGTTATTCAGTTCATGACCTCTCCTCGGACTGGTCATTTCGCTGCTGTACTTCGGATTCTATGATATGTTAAAGGCACTATCTTCCATTGCTTATTTTATTCATTATCTTCCTCACTAAGCTAACTGCATATGCTGATGTTGAATGGGGTAAAGATCCTTCGGATCATCGATCCATGACTAGTTTTTGCTTTTTTTCTAGGTTCTCTTATATCTTGCGAAGCAAGAAACAAACCATTGTTTCGTGTTCTAGCACTAAATCTGAATATCGAGCTCTTGCCGATACTACTACTGAGTTGGTTTGGTTACATTGGCTACTTGAGGACATGGGTGCTTCCTTTACAACACCCACTTCTATTCACTGTGACAGTCAAAGTACTATTCAAGTGACACATAATGATGTCTTTCATAAGCAAAAAAAACATATTGAGATTGATTGCCAATGTTACTCTCACCCATAACTCGTGGCACCCTTCGGTTGATTTTCGTCTCATCTTCTGATCAGCTTGCAGACATCTTTATAAAATCCTTTCAAGCTTTGGCCTTCCAACATCTAAATTCTAAACTCATATTGGCTCCAATCACCCACCCTGAGCTTGAGGGAGGGGGGTGTTAGAATA